CCAAGCACCAGCTTGGGTGCCTGGTGCCTGGAGCCGGCCCTGGCTGCAGGGGTGTTATACATTAACTCAGAGAATGCAATGTGTGATTTTGCAAAAGCTAGATTGTTTGTGCTTGGTATGTTTTGGGTCTGAATCTTTTCTGACTTAGTTTTACACTGGTGTAACACCCTGGACTTTGATGGAATTATTTCTGATTTAATCCTGTGTAAGTGAGAGGAGAATCAGGCCCACTATACCTAAGGTCTACAATTTGTTCAACATATGCACTGGATTTGAATTGTAGCTGCTTTTTTTAACCTCTTAGCTTGCTCAGTTTTATCTCTGAGGGGGAAAAGCAATCAGCAGATGTCATGTTGTGAATATTGGGTTCCTTACACAGGTTCAGCTGATGTGTCACCTCAGATAAAGCACTTGCCAGACCATGTGGAACTCAATTCTGGCGCAGAGTTTAAGCCTATTTGTATAGCCACTGGCAAGCCACTTCCTGTTATTGAAGAATTTAAACTGTTGAAACAAGATGGGACTGTCTTCAAGGTAAGTCCCTGGTTGGTTTCTACACTGTTTCTTATTTTTATTATTATTGTTATGTTTATTTGTTAGTTATTGCACGCTAAAGACATTTTGACCAAGTACACTTCCTTGGTGGTATGAAAATGCCCCGAGATCTTCAGGGCCAAATTTTCAACCAGCTTCTATGAACTTGCCTAGACTCATAGAGGTGCCAATTCAGGAATCTATCCCTATTCCGCAAAAGCATTTAGCACATGGTCATCTGTCTAGGGACAGACTTAAGCATGTGCTTCAGTGCTTTTCTGAATCAGATCCAGAACTTGCTGTATAATGGTGAAAAAGTGTGTGAGCATTTGTTCAAACTCCCCTTGGTTGCTAAGTTCATCCATGTTTGCGCTGCTTTTTATTCACTGTTTATGATAATTTGTGCGAACAGGCTTCTGTTTGCACTATTGTTTGGGGGAATGTCTGTCCTTCATACAAATTCCCCTACTTTGCGTACAAACCCTGATATTTGTCTGTGAAAAAGAGTGTTTGCTGTTCTGTTTGTCATTCTTCATTTGTTTGTTTTTTCCCTGTTTAAATACACCTCTACCCCGATATAACGCAGTCCTCGGAAGCCAAAAAATCTTACCGCATTATAGTGAAACTGCGTTATATTGGGTAGGAAAGGCTGTGCCTCCCCCAAACAGCCTGGCCCCACCCCCATCTGACCCCCACCTACTTCCCACCCCCTGACTGACCCCTCAGAACCCCCGACCCATCCAACCCCCCCGCCCCGCTCCTTGTCCCCTCACCGCCCCCAGAGACCCTCTGCCCCTTATCCAACCCCTCGGCCCCGGCCCGGCCCGGCACCCTTAACACGCCGATCAGAGCAGCGTGTCAGAGCCGTCCCTAGAGGGGTGCGGGGCCTGGGACAAATCAGCCTCCCCGCTAGTCTCCTCACCATCCGCCCAGCAGTCCCACCCGCCTGGCTGCCGCTCGCCTCCTCACCCCACCTACCCGCTCGCCTGCCCGCCGCTCGCCTCCCCTCTAGTCTCCTCACCGTCTGTCCGGTGTGCCTCCCCGCGTCCGCCCGCCTGCCTTCTCACCCCCCCTCCTGCCTGCCGCTCATCTCCCAATTCACCTCCTCACCCCGCTTGCCCACCCGCCTCCCACCCTTAACACGCCGCTCAGAGCATGTCGGAGCCAGACATGCTGACCCGCCAGAGCACGCAGCCCCGCCCCCCCAGAGCGCTGCTTTACCGTGTTGTATGCGAACCTGTGTTATTTCGGGTTGCGTTATATCGGGGTAGAGGTGTCCTTTAAGAGGTAGTAGAAAAATATCATGTGACTTGGATGACTAGCCAAACACAGTGAATAATAAATAGCAAATGACTGAAATTAACTGTTCATGAACAACACATAGGCTCAGAATTCACCACCCAAACTGTTCAGCAAAGACTGAATAATTAATGCTCTTGCAAAACTCAAAACAGAAAAAGGGCTGAGTTCTTTGGATGATTTACTGGTAGTTGCTAATTCAACCAGTTGTAGCAGCAAAACTGAGTAAATAACACTGATGTGCAATGGCTGTAAAATGTCCTTCAGAGTTAGCTACATTTTACAGATGGGTGAAGAGGGCTCATACATGCAGAGCAGGAAATCAATGGAAGTTTTGTCACTGAGGCCAATAGAAGCGGGACTTTCTCTGAAGTACTTTGGGATTTTTTGGGAGGACAGATATTATAAATGGAAGCTATATTTATTATTGTTCCATGTTAAAAGCTACATTAAAGGAAAGTGAAGGTGGCAGAATGAAACACGCAGTAGTCCGGAAATAACATAGCTACAGTGAGATCAAAATCAGAAGTTACCAGGGCCATTTTGTCTGCACTAGAAAACTCCTGACTGAGGTGTGTATACTACATGTAATGACTACATGCAATATACTAAGGGCCTGATCCAAAGCCCATTGAGGTTAATAGGAGACTTGCCATTGGCATTAATGGATTTTGGATGAGACCCTAAATTAGGAGGAGGCGTGACTTGGAGGAGGTTTTTCATTGTTCAGACCCTTCTTATGATTTGTCATTTCAGCCGGTCTCATTTGTTAGCAATCGCTCAGAGGCAAAGTTTCATATCAATAGAATCCAGCCGCCTGACTCAGGAATATGGGTTTGCAGTGTTGAGACAGTAGCAGGGATGGCAGAAGAGCCTTTCCATGTTACAGTTAAAGGTAAGGGTCTCTGACTCATGCGCTTTTAGATGTCCTTGCCTCCCTCTTTTAACCTGGGCAAGCTTACACCGTTAAATGTCCATAACATTCGTGAGATGCTATCTATCTTCTAGCAGTTTCTGTTCAGAGATCTGATAATGCATTGAGTTGAGTCATGAGCCCATTTCTTTATGTCATGTTTATACAAATACTTAACCCTTTCCATGTATATTATCCTGCTCCATCATTTATGCTCCAGCTATGCTTAAAGGGCCTGAACCAAAGCCTACATTATTAAACTCAATGGAAGTCCTTCCATTGACTGGAAAGAGCTGTGAATCTGGCCCAGAGCTTGCTGCTTTGCTGATATTTAATGTAGTATGGAAAATCTTCTTTAGAGACTAGGACAAGTATCTTCAAACATAGATGTGTAAATTAGGCACTGCCATCCATATTCACGCATCTTAATAAAAGAAGCCCAATTGTCATGGGTACTGAGCACCTAGAAAACCAGAGACTTCAGAGATACAGGCGCTCAGAGTGGTGCTTTGGGATTCAAGCCAGACCAGTAAGAGGTTGTGTCGCCGCCTGCCCTGCAACTTTGGATGCCATCAGTGCTATGCTGCTATGGCTCACTGCCTGAACACCAACAGCCAGCATACAAGCAGGCAGGTCACACCCTGGCTTCCACAAACCAGTTACTTTTTGCAGAGCGACCCCCAATACTCTCAGTCCCAAATTTCCCCCAAACTGTCTGTCAGTGTGACAATGTGCTGAGGTTCCCAGAATTGAGAGTTACTGCGTTACCCCTCTCTGCCTCAGCAAGTGAGAGTTTTGCTACTGCTAAGCTCTGTCACAACTCCCTGACACACCAGCTTGTCTGCCTTGCCAGCAAACTCCTCAGGACTCTGCCAGTCCAAACCTTGCCCTGCAGGTAACAAACAGTGACCCCCAACTTCCAAGTTCCCCAGAGACGTCTCCCCGGCAGAGTCCTCTCCTGGAAGGCTCAAGAAGTTATTCGTTCATTGCTCCTTTAAAGAGACAATACACTCCAATTCATTAATTTAACTTGGGTTTGACAAACACTCTTACTTCAATCACTGCACAGAATTGGCGTATGGTAAAAGAAAAATAAGTTTATTAAGCAAAATGTCAAAGGTCTATAAAGGAGTAAAGGTAGAAAGGGTTACAAGCAAACAAAAGTAAAAATACTCTTCTAAGGCTAAAACTTAATTTCAGCAAGTTACAGTCTTTGCCTAAGCAGGTTTCTCACCTATATATAGTTCCCAGAAACTTCAGCCCCCTGGGTTGAAGGCTCCAATGTCCTGTGATTTGAAGGGCTCTGGCCCCTTGAATTTTATGGGGCTCTCTCCCCTTTCTTTGTATAGTCCAGTACACTTTTGAAATGTAGTCTTTGAAAAGTAAGCCAGCCCAAGCTTCTCTCTCCTGCTGGGATGTAGACACCATGCTGTTTTCCCAAAGTTCATTTACCCTGTTAAAGATGCAGGAAGGCTTCCTGTTGATTTTCCATCCCTGTACTGATCTGGATGTAAACCAGGCTTACATTGCTTTGATAATGCTTAATTTACCTTGGAGACAGTAGATAGCTACCTTCCCTGCTGTCTCTCTTTGTACACACCCATCCATACCTCATGCAAGAATATTAATGATCAGTGAGTTATCAGTTTACCAGTGATACATTACACGCTAGCTTTTGGGTCTATATCATGACAACAGTGTATTAGGTGTAGTGAGTATGTCAGGCTTGACAAGAGTTGCTGACACAGAGAAGTGAACCACCAATGGGCCTCTGTGTCTCCCTCAGCAGCTCTAAAAATCAGGGTATGTAAGTAAGTGCTACTCAAAGTGAATAAGAGTTATAGAAATAGGACCCTTACAGTAGGGAGCATATTGACCATAAGGGGACACTATCTAGATCAAAACCCATATTTTATCAGTCTTCCTTCCTCTTGATAGTCCTACCTGGGATTATTAAAGCTGAAAGAATTTTTAAAATCTGATGTATTTTTATTGTGGATAACATTTGTTTACTTTCTTGGCATTTCATTCAGCCTGGACAGTGTTTCCAATCAGTTTCACTTTCTGGTTCTCATGGACTGGCACAAGATTGGAATGTTTTTTATTGACAACACTACAGGGAAATGTTTAAATAAACATCTGCATTCAAAATATTAAAACAGTTCTACCTTGAACAGCCACCTCTTGCATTGTAATTTTTATGAATTGGCAAATGAATGGGACGGTAAAGTTTGAAAAAAAAAATCCAAGCGTTTGGAAAGGGATCTAAACCCTCATTTTTTAGGATATAATCCCACCTCCAACTAATGGGAGTTAGGAAGAAACTTTCCCTACCACAGAGAAATGTTGTTGAAGCAGCTGTCAGAAACAGGGTACTGGAGTAGACGGACCATGCTCTGATACAGTCTGGCAATACCTGTATTCCTATGAATCCAGGTAGATGCCACAGTTTTATTAATACAGACAAATAAAAGATCTGGTCTAATAGTCACATTCTTGCTCAGTTCCTCCTGTGCCTCAGTATGCTCCGAGGATGATAGACAGTGGACATAATTTTCTCATCATCGATATCAATGCTGACTCCCATACTGGTGATGGACCGATTGTGTTAACCAAGCTCCTGTATAAGCCTGCTAAAGGTTATCAGCCCTGGATGTCAGTGGAAGGTAAGGGTCAGTCCTTTCATCCCATCAATCATACAGAAACCTCATCTACAATCAAGCTGAAGCAAAATTAGAATGTGGTGTTCGCTCTAAAGTAAAATTCTGTTCTGAAAAATGACTTTTACTTAATCAGGGCTCAAAAGAACCTACAGCTGGCCCTGACGAGCAATTCTTATGTAGTTTTTAAGCTAAAAAGATATTAAAGCAGCAGCAGAAGCAAATGGCCTCCTGTCTCAGGTTTTTATAAGATATAAAACCTGAGATTGTGTGTAATACTGGTGGTGGTCCATTGTGTTGAAGTTCAGTATATGGCCACAGCAGTTGTTGTAGTGATGTCCAGGAACTTCCAGTTCCCACAGGGGCAGCATCTGCAGGTCTTTGGAGAGACAGACCTGTGAGGAAGCTTGTGAGTACAGGCTCCTATCACCGTGGTACCCAAGTACTGGCTTCTAGGACTTCTAAAGACTACGGGCAAAGTTCAGATGTGAGTCAAGTGAATTTAAGTAGCCTAGAGGAGAGGATAAATTGGTGTAGCTTAACCACTTCATCCAGTCCCCTCAATGTACATTAAAGCCATATAGACTTTTTCTAGATTCCCGTAGGCTTACATGGGCTCACTTACATGTTGGTGAGTATGTGAGTAACTTACAAACACACACCTTATACATCAGCTCTAAATTTGAAACATTGAGTGCAAGGGAATGTAAACAAATGTATTTCAGTCTCTGACAGGCCAGAAGCGAGGAGCGTAGCTAAAAATAAACAATAAACTGCAGGATGTAAGAAGGTGTAATCTAAAGCAACCCCCATCCTCTTTAACTGACACCTTCTGACTCCTCAATGTGTAATTTACGCCAGCTTGGTTTCCCTTACATCTCAATAACTGGATGCAGGTAGATATAAGGGAGTATGCCTGATTGTATGGGAGTATGCCTAACCTATATCCCTTTACACATCGTCTTCATTAGAAACCAAGTCTCTTTGCTGGGATCTCTTGATGAAACACAGATACATCAACACTGAGGATTCTTGAGCCTTTAACCAACACGTTCACGGGTATTCAGGATTCCAATTTGTTCTTTCCAGGCTTATATGTTATGTCCATCATTGTGATATCTGAACTCCTAATAGCTAGACCAGGGGTAGGCAACCTATGGCACGCATGCCAAAGGCGGCACGCGAGTTGATTTTCAGTGGCACTCACATTGCCCGGGTCCTGGCCACTGGTCTGGGGAGCTCTGCATTTTAATTTAATTGTAAATGAAGCTTCTTAAACATTTTAAAAACCTTATTTACTTTGCATGCAACCATAGTTTAGTTATATACTATAGACTTACAGAAAGAGACCTTCTAAAAATGTTAAAATGTATTACTGGCACCCGAAACCTTAAACTAGAATAAATAAATGAAGACTCAGCACACCACTTCTGAAAGGTTGCCGACCCCTGAGCTAGACCATTGACGTCATTAAGTCTCCAAAAGAGTGAAGAGGTCTGCCTGCCCATCTCTGACTACAGGATCAGATTGTTAGATCTTTGGATTGGGGCCAGCTCACTTGGGGCCAGATTTTCAGAAATGCTCAGCACCCAGCAGCTCCCGCTGAGGACACTGAGCACGTCAGTACTTTTGAAAAGCTGCCCTTTTGTATCTCATGCAAGGCTGGGCACATTGCTGGTGCTTTAACCCGTCATAAGCAATACTGTCATAATGGTAATTAACGTGTACGTCTAAACAGCTCACCCTAGAGTAATGGGGGTAAAGCGGAGCCCATAACCTTGACCTCTCTCAAGAGCAGACCCAGCTGTGATGCGGGATTCAGAAAATCCCTTATTATTTTTCAGAATGGAATGGAGGGTTGACCTTTTTTTCTCCTTTCGTTCCCAGTAAATGGAAAGAGCAAGAAATTAGATAATCTAGAACCCAAAACAGAATATCAGTTCTGTGTTCAGCTAAGCCGGCAAGGGGATGGTGGAGAAGGGCATCCTGGGCCACAGGCAAGCTTCACAACGGCTGCACTTGGTACGTAGGACTTTTGGCCTTTCACATGGGGAGCTTTCAATCAGCCTTCTTCGTTTTCTCTGCAATATGCACAGCCGCATTCAGCTGCATGCATGCCAAAGCCCACTGAAGTCAATGGAAGCCTTTCCATTGATTTCAGTGGGTTTTGGACCAAGCCCTAAAACAATGTTTCTCAAACAGTGAGGCCAGGGGAGGCTCAGATCCTTTCAGAGGAGTCTCAAGCAAAGCAAAGGAAAATGGAAGAATTGCAAAAGTGGCTAAATATAATTCTCCCCATTTTACAGGTGGGAAAACTGAGGCACAATGAGGTTAGTGCCGCACAGAGAGTACTCAGCTATGTTGGGGATAGAACCCCTTCTTCTGGTTACTAGTGATGGCTCTAACCATTAGACTATGTTGACTTCTTTAAGGTAAAGACTATTTAAAAATCAGAATCTCATACGGAGTCAAGGAACAGGAAGAAATCAAATACTCAAGCATTAAATAAATGACCTCTTGTATACTGAACCCTTAAAATGGAAATGACCCAGCAATAAAAAGAGAGGGGCCTGGTCCTTTCCTCATGTTTAAAAACTTCCACTTTGCATCAGTAATCTCTCAACCCTCCTCCATCCCAGTGAAGGACACGAGGTCAGCAGTTCTTTATATGGAGCTTGTGCACACCAGCAACCAACCAGGGATCTACTAGCTGGGGAGTATTAGCTTTCTTCCCTCCACCCCAAGTCCTTCAATGTCATTTGAATTCCCAAGTCTATTATCGCTATCCTCACATTGTCCCATAGCTCTGTTGTTTTACTTAACCACACACAATATAGTAATTCAGGCCCCCTCATTCTCCTTCGAAGAACTGTAGGTAGTGAGAGGGGCATTTACTTTTGCTATTCTGCTCTAGTAAATGTGACTGTGGACAGGAACTAAGTGACAGGGTCTGATTCTCCATTGCCTTGCCCCATGTGTAGTCATTTACACCTATGAAAGTGAATGTAGAATGCTGCCAAATTGACATATTAGCCCAGGGATCAGCAACGTTTGGCACACGGCCCGCCAAGGTAAGCACTCTGGCAGGCCGGGCCGGTTTGTTTACTTGCCGCGTCCGCAGGTTCGGCCGATCGTGGCTCCCACTGGCTGCGGTTCGCTGCTCCAGACCAATGGGAGCTGCGGGAAGGCGTGGCCAGCACCTCCCTCGTCCCGCGCCGCTTCCCGCAGCCCCCATTAGCCTGGAGCAGTGAACCATGGCCAGTGGGAGCCGCAATTGGCTGAACCTGCGGACGCAGCAAGTAAACAAACCGGCCCAGCCCGCCAGGGGGCTTACCTAGGCGGGCCGCGGGCCAAACGTTGCTGATCCCTATATTAGCCTTTTACGTGCACTTTCTAGCACTATAAATGATTATACACAGTGCAGGGCAGTGGAGAATCAGGCATCAGGTAAACAATCTTTCACAAAAACAGAGCAAATGAAGCCACATCAGTCCAGGAGGGAACGTGGCTGGAGGAGGTGGCTAGAGAAATTCCAGATTTTCTGAGAAGCAAATGGCATTGCAGAGAAACTGAAGATCTGAAATCCACCGCCCTGCTACTTGTGGCAGGCCCAGCAGCATCAGAGATTGACAGTACTTTCCAGTGGCACCATCAGGGCACTGCAAAATGCTAAGGTCATTTAAAAATGTCAGTATTGTGATCCATGCAAGGATGCCATGTCCCTGAGAAGCAACCCAAAACGCCATGCTTGGGCTGAGCATTTGACCTCAACAGCAATTCTAGCCTCTGCTAGGTATGGAGGACAACATTTGAACTCTGGATGACCTCAGGCCTCACTTGGCGATGCAGAGCACTAACCCAGAAGGCCAGTTCCAGATTATTGTTTTAATACCAGCCTTTGTGTGCAAGTATCCAGAAGACATAAAATAAAGTTTTTTCTCTCTCTCTGTGGATTCTCTAAGGTCTTCCTCCACCAGAAGGTCTCACCCTCCTTCCTAAAAGCAAGACATCTCTGGTTTTGTCATGGCAGCCAATAGCACAGAAGCCAGAAGATGACCTTCTTGTTGAAGTGGAAAGGACGAGTGTGAATGACAACAGTGGTGATGAGGACAGACCTGATATCACCCATGTGCCAGGAAATATATCCACTCTGGTTATTGATGATTTAGAACCCAGACAGCAGTATAGGTGCAGGGTACGTGTGAATACCAGGTCTGAAGGAGAGTGGAGTGACTATTTGTATGCATGGACCTACAGTGACAGTAAGTGACTGGATTCACTTTACTTTATTTATTCTTTTCTCTTCCTCTTCCCCCCTCCCCGCTCCCAGCAGGATTCTGTTGTTGCTAGAGGTCTCTGTAAAATGTAATTGTTTGACAGGTTTGGTCACAGAGACCCACTTGGGACTGTCACCTGATTTGCTGAAACTACCTCTGAGCCCGTCTTCCCTGCCAGCTTGGGACTCCAGAACGCTGTCTTGTTGAGCCAGACACGCAAACCTTCTGCAACACAGACCGAGGGTCTGAACCACGTCCCCAAAGCTGCAGACTTAACTGAAAACAGCTCAGCAAGTGCTCCTGTCTCCAGCACTCAGACACCCAGTTCCCAATGGGATCCAAACCCCAAATAAATCCATTTTACTCTGTATAAAGCTTATATAGGGTAAACTCATAAATTGTCCACTCTCTATAACACTGATAGAGAGATATGCACAGCTGTTTGCTCCCCCAGGTATTAATCACTTACTCTGGGTTAATTAATAAACAAAAGTGATTTTATTAAGTCTAAAAAGTAGAATTTAAGTGGTTTCAAGAAATAACAGACAGAACAAAGTAAGTTACCAAGCAAAATAAAACAAAATACGCAAGTCTAAGCCTAATACATTTAAGAAACTGAATACAGGTAAATCTCACCCTCAGAGATGTTCCAATAAGCTTCTTTCACAGACTAGACTCCTTCTTAGGCTGGGCCCAATCCTTTCCCCGGTACAGTTCTAGTTAGTTCCAGCTCAGGTGGTAATTAGGGGTTTTCTCATGACTGCAGCCCCCTTTGTTCTATTCCACCCCCTTTTATAGCTTTGGCACAAGGCAGGAATCTTTTGTCTGTCTGGGTCCCCACCGCTCCTTCTAAATGGAAAAGCACCAGGTTTAAGATGGATTCCAGTACCAGGTGACATGATCACATGTCACTGTAAGACCTCATTCTCCATTCTTTCAGGGCTGGCCTGCACGTACCCAGGAAGGTTTGCGAGTAAACAGAGCCATTCACAACCAATTGTCCTAGTTAATGGGAGCCATCAAGATTCCAAGCCACCATCAATGGCCCACCCTTTGCATAGTTACAGTAGGACTTCAGAGTAATACTTCATATTTCTAGCTTCAGATACAAGAATGATACATTCATACAAATAGGATGACCACACTCAGTAGATTATAAGCTTTGTAATGATACCTTACGAGAGACCTTTTGCATAAAGCATATTCCAGTTACATTATATTTACACATAAACATATTTCCATAAAACATATGGAGTGCAACGTCACAGCAATCCTCTGCAATGATAGCATAGTGTGTCTGAATGCGCATTTACAGCTGCTTTTAGCTATTGTTAAGAGGGATAGCTGAGGGTCAGCACTAATTCTTATCCCCCGGTCAGAGACTAAGGATGTGAGTTTCAAAAGTTCCTAAGTGACTCGGGAGCACAGGTCTCAGTGACTTTCAATGGGACATATGCTCCTAAATCACTTAGGTGCTTTTGAAAATCCCACCCTGAGGGCCTGATTCTCAGAAGTGCTGGGCACCTACAGCTCCATCCAAGACAACAGGATCTCCATTGATTCGGAAAATCTGGCTGAGTTGTACCAAGCACTGAACGGTGAGGAGAAGGTGCAATGTTTGTGCACTACACTGAGTGCAGAGAGTAGTTGAGTCTGTCGTAATGCTGGTGCTAGAATCCTCAAAGGAGGTAGGAAGGGATGAGAATGTGGTAAGGCCATAGACTCACCTGCCCCCCACAGTACTGTCACCGCAGCCACACTCCCTGGGGGCTCATGAAGTCATTGTGCTTGCCTGAGGGACAGTGCTTCTAGTACACTCCTCTGGAAGGGCACATCTCTGCACCGCTCACGCCTGCAACCTCAGTGCTAATCCCATTCGCATAGGTGCTTACCCACACTGGTAAAGGTTGCACAGCTGGGCCCTGCATGTATTACAAAAATGACAGTGGTGACCTGCTTCCGGAAATATCACCATTATTCTGAGGAGAACTTGTCTTGCCAGCTGTGGTTGTGGCCACCAGCTAGGGGCTCAATCCTGGTCCCATTGAAATCTGTGGGAGTTTTGCTATTGACTTCTACCCTTCCTAACAGCTGTTAGATGGACAAGGAAAACAGGCCTTAAAGCAATGAAAAGTAAGGGATGCTGGAGCCACAGGGGGATGCTGATCCAGTCGGGAGGTAAAATTATGCTGCCCTAATTCAAGAGGAATCCCTTTGTCTAGGATAGTACCTGGAGCAGTCTCTTCCTTTTCCTAGCAAGGATAGGGAATACCACGAGGAATCTGCTACAAGTGTTCAGCACTGCAATAGTTGGTGCCAGAATGAAATGAACGATGTCAAGTTTATAAAAACATAGTCAAGTTTCATTTGCTGTCGCCCTGATCCTGGTTCTGTTTAAGCCAGTGGGAGGATTGGGGAAAGGATTGGCACCAAAAGAAGGAGCAAGGCTGGATGTAAACTGGAACGTGTTCTTTTTTTGTTCATAGGAATCCCACCGTCACCTGACAACATCAAGATTTTCAACATCACGGACACCTCTGCCATCATCTCTTGGTCAACTGCTGCGGGACAGTCCATCTCCTCCATCATCATCAGCTACAAGATTTATGGCAAGGCTGAGTACAACCACATTGACGTCACAATAAAAAACACAACCATCACGCAGTATCATCTCAAGGGCCTCGAGCCGAATACTGTGTATCTGGTTCAGATGAGTGCACAGAACAATATTGGACTGAGCAACCCAAACCCTTCTCTTGAACTGAAGACTCTCCCGGAAACAAAAGGTTGGTTACTCCAGCGTACTGAACTCAATCCAAACCATGCCTGGGTGGTCTGGGAGGCCATGTGGGTTAGCAAGCTGAGAACAGAGCTGGGGACTATGAACACCTGAGATTTTATTTATTTGTTACTCTGAATGTTGTTGTATTTTTAAAAAAATATACACAATGCACATCCAGACAAAGGCCCTTAGAATTTGAATCCCAGCTCTGTTATTGGCTCAATGTGTGGCCTGGGGCAAGTCACACAATTTCCAAAAGTGGCCGCTGACTTTCAGTGCCCCAGTTATTGAGGGCCCAACGTTTCATAGATGCTTAGAGTTTAAAGCCAGAAGGGACCATTAGCTCATCAAATCTGACCTCCTGCATAACACAGGCCATGGAATGTCACCAGCCTGGCCACCCACAGACTGATTTTCAGAGATGCTGAGCACCCCCAGCTCCAGTTGAAATCAGTGGAGCCACAGCTGCTCAGCACTACTGAAGATGAGGCCCAAGTTCTCTGTGCTTCCATTTGTGTATCTGCAGAATGAGAACGCTAATCTTTACTTCCCTCAGAGGATTGTCAGCGTTAACCAGATGCTGTTAAGTACCATTTTCCCCTCAACAGCTCCGTATGACTCGAAGGGAGGGAAAATGCTGCTGATTGCTATCCTTGGCTCAGCAGGGATGACCTGCCTGACAATCCTGCTGGCCTTTCTCATCATGCTGCAGCTAAAGCGAGCCAACTTCCAGCGCAGAATGGCTCAAGCCTTCCAAAACGTGGTGGTGAGTTTCCAGTTTTGCTTTGACGGTGCAGTTGTTCATCTCAGCCTCATCTGTTGTCTTTTCCTGATAAGGTTCCCTCCTCCTCCTCTTCCAACTTTCGAAATAAAGCTGCCCCGTAATGCACGTGTTAGCATTAATAGTATCAAGCTTTCCTACCACTGACCCAGAGGTGAGCAGGGGATCACAATTGTGGGATATGAAGTAGACAGTCCACCTAGAGGAGGAAGGCAGCTATGTACTATGTCTCCCCTTCTGCTTTGCTGCTTCTATCTCCTTTGCAGAACCAGTTTGTGATCTGATGTGTGTGAGGACAGGAGGCATGCCCTGCCAGACCAGAGAAAGGCTTGTGAACACACTACTCTGTGTGGCGTGGTCTCCATTAAAACTGCACCGTGGATTGTAAAATGCAGTGCAAGTTGCTGCTACTCTGAGCCCCAGTAACTGCTCCTCCACAGCTTTTAGAGATGGGCACAGCAGGCCAGGAGCCAGCCAATGGCAGCACCACACCTCTACCAGCTTCTTTCATACAGTGGACAGTATGGGCCATGATCACCAGTTGTTAGGTCCCACGGAAACTCTCCCTACACGCTTTTCTTCCACAGAAGCAAATCCTATGGGGATGCATTAATTAAAGTGAGGATGACCCTTCAAACACAGCAGACTATTTGCTGCACCACAGCCTGATTAGGCAAGGGAAAGAGTGGAGACGATTTAGTTGCTAGATGTAATAGTTTGCTCAGATGTTTCACTTTCTCTTCTTTCTTCCCCAACACTGCAGTAGAACATCCTCAATATGAAGAGGGAAGCTTATCCAACCCTGTAGCCTACTTTCTGTCAGCCTCCACCACACTATTATAAAAATAGTCAGCAAGTGTCTGACACTCCTCTCATTTAGACAGTATAAACCAGGAATTATTCTGCAGAAGACAATAAGCAAGAGAAGGCTCAGCTCCCATATGCTTATATTGAGTGGACAATAAGTTCTGTGGTATTACTCCAAATGTTACAAACAACAACTACTAACACCTGGTTATTTTTTTTCACAGAGAGAAGAGCCAGCTGTCCAGTTTAACTCAGGAACTCTCACTCTGAGCAGGAAAGCCAAGAACAGCCCAGACCACACTATCTATCCAGTCCTCGAGTGGAATGACATCAAATTTCAAGATGTGATCGGGGAGGGCAACTTTGGACAAGTCCTTAAAGCACGAATTAAGAAGGATGGCTTGCGAATGGATGCTGCCATCAAAAGGATGAAAGGTCAGCAGTTTTCATTAAAGAATATAGAGTCTTTGAAGCCAGGGCCCTATGTTTATCTGGGTTTGTACAGCGCCTGGCACAAGGGGACCTTGATCCTGACTGGGGCCTCTGGCTGCTAATGTAATATAAATACTAAATAATGAGCTTCTGCTTTTGCCTGGCCAACGTTTGCACCCTGGTGATGGCTTTTTTTTCTCTCTGTGTGTTTTTTGTAGTTTGACCCGGTATCATTGAGTGCTGACTCCTATATGCGAGTTTCAGTCTGTTTGATGGGTCACATGAAAAGCTCATCATTTGCTACTCCACAGTGATAACGGCACAGAGCCTTTAAAACTTGCCAAGGTTGCCTTAAATAAATAGATAAGGTAGCAGTATATTTGCAGGCTCATTTTAAATTTCCCTCTACTTATTGTCAGGCATCACTTCTCTATCGAAGGTACTTTTAAGATGCTTATCAGCATGGTATCTAAGTTCCAAAAATACTAGAATACTGCCACTATCGTGCCTGGAATACTGCAGATACTGAGATGTTGTTATGCAGCTCTCTAAGTCATTATCCAAGGAAATTGGCAGTTGTTTAAGGGTGGCCATTGTATCATCCATTCTAAGAACATGAAGACAAAGCATGGGTGCTGCTGGTGCGTGGAATGGTGAATGCTGAGTTTTTAATGATACCCAGTGTGACCAGAATACCAAGGGAGCCGACTGAGGTCGCTCAATTAGGATGAACTGCAAAGAACTGGGCAGACAATCCCCAAAGCTGGTGGATATTCCAATACTTAGATTTACCAAGCCAGCACAAAGCCTTCTATAATACCTCACTGGTTACCCAGAAGCCAACAACACAGTTGTTAAAGTAACCCAGCCTCAGGCCTTCACCCAGACACCCAAGTTAAATATGATGAGGACTAATGAAAATCTTATTCCTCATATAAAAAGGCTCTACCAATCCCAAAGGATCAGACACATTACCACCCAGGTTAACGAATATTCCAGATCTTACCCAAATACACGCTACAGCCAATTCTTATTAAGTAAACTAAAATGTATTAAAAAAGAAAAGGGAGAGAAGATTGGTTAGAAGATCAGTATACACACAGACATGAGTGCAGTGCTTGAGATTCAGATTCCTAGCAGAGATGGTGAGCTTTGTAGAGGCAGAGTTCTTTCAGAAATAGTTCATAGGTTATAGTCCAGTGTTTGTATTCAGGGCAGGCCAGTCAGCGCTGGGATCTCAGTCCTTGTGGCTTAGGCTACCCCTGCATGAAGCCGCAAGCAGATCTGAGATGACAGGATCAGGACCCAAGCCCTTTTTTATATAGTCTCAGGCTCTCTTGTGACAGCTCAGAGAACAATAGTCACTCATTTCCTAAGCATCCACACAGATCCACATAAGGCAATTGCCTGTTTTTCCACCATTTGCAGATGATTTGCTATACATTTCGAAGAGAGATGAATACAGCGATATCCTAGGTTTACAGTTCATTTAATTGTTAAGAATTTCTTTTGATCTCTGAATTAACAGAATACAGCATAGACGGACTGTTTGATTACATTGTTGATCGCTACCCATACATATGTCAATACACAAAAATGCAAACATTATCTACACATATGTTTTTAAGGGTTGAATTTGTATCATTTGTCCTGCAGGATGCTTAACCCTTTCTTCCTTAGTTTGGGTTTTTAATTTGATCATCAACTTTAATCTGCTCTAGGGAAACATTTTCCTGACCAATGAGTTCTTTCTGTGCTTTATCTAATTCCAGATTCACTTCTGAGATATTAGACAGACATTCAGAAACTTCATTCACATATCAACTGCTTTTCTGCACAGACACACAGCTATTTTCCACAGACAAACATTTGGAGAATTCCTCAATAGGCAATTCCTAATAGACACAGGTTTAGGATTATTTCTTTCCTGTGACTGGTTTATGTTAGCCCGACTGACATAATATCAAGCTTTAATATCATGCTCAATCAAAAGATTCTTAGGCAATAACTTCCTTACACCAGCTATAACTTCATGGTTAATGCCATTCTATTCAAGGTGGATACTGGCTAAAGGCACATTTACAGTAAACTCATAGAGGATTACAATATTCACACTTTCACCCGGTAAGTAATCTTCCTCTTTGACAAGATCCTCTTTAACAAGAGTGATGTTAGAACCTGTAATTTGCCCTAAACAGCTTTTACCATTGATTTTTACATTCTCTGCCCAAGTTATGGGGTTACCTTCACCTGAGCTCACAGTAAAAGTATTTACATAACAGGTGGCAGAGTTGGGGTATATTTTGGTTACACACAGAAAACTGCTTACAGTCAAACAACATACCAACATTGTTACAAACTGGATAGATTCTATCCCCATCTTTGCTGCTGGGAGGAGCTGGCTTTTCGGGATGATACAGTTCCTTCATTCTCTTGAGTTGGAGCTTAAAGTCTGTCCATTTTTGCCTTAGCTTCTAGTTCCTGCAATCAAATATATGCGATGCTTTGTTCATGTTCAAAACATAGGCATTCTCTTTCAGCAGCGTCTCTTTCCATATCAGCTTTTCCTGCAATCGAAGATCTATTCGCTTTTGTTCAAGTTGCTGCTGGTTTCTCACTGAAAGCATTTTCGCTGAGGCCTTGGCTACACTGGCGCTGTACAGCGCTGCAACTTGCTGCGCTCAGGGGTGTGAAAACGCCACCCCCCCGAGCGCAGCGAGTGCAGCGCTGTAAAGCGCCAGTTTAATCAGAACCTGCAATGCTGCACGCTCGCTCGCAGCGCTGCAAGCTACTCCCCTCGGAGAGGTGGAGTACATACAGCGCTGCGAGAGCTCTCTCGCAGCGCTGGCGGCGCGACTACACTCACGCTTCACAGCGCTGCCGCGGCCGCTGTGAATTCCCGAGTGTAGCCAAGGCCTGAGTCTGCTTCCTGATTACTGGCCACTAACAGATTTTTCAGTTCTTGCTCTGGGGCCTTTTATTAAAAGACAACCCCCCTCTGTGAGTACAATTCTTCCAGGCTTTTTCTGTCAGGATCGTCAGAGGATCTGGGTCACTCACTGTAACTGATTTGTAACCCTTAAACTCTCCAATATCACAATTAATTTTTGACAAGTGTGTCGTTTTGATCCAAAAACCCAATTAACCTGTAGTAATGTGTGTCCAAGCACGACTACGCCACTGTGACCGGACTCCCAGGGGAGCCGACTGAGGTCACTCAATTAGGATGAACTGCAAAGAATGGGGCAGGTAATCCCCAAAGCTGGTGGATATTCCAATACTTAGATTTACCAAGCCAGCACAAAACCTTCTATAATACCTCACTGGTCATTCATCACACCCAGTGTGCATCTTTTATGGATGAAAAACTGGTCTAAGTGTGGATAGGCCAGAAGGGCAGTACCACTCTGGCTATGCCAGCATGCCAGCTACACTAGATAAGTACAAACAGGGACAAGAAAAACTTGTATATGGTAAATCAAAATATAAGTTTAGGGGCAACGCTCCAGCCAAGCTCCCAATATTTATAATGTATCTTTTAATCAGAGAGATCCAAGCTTTGTTGATTTTGCTGTTTAGGGATTATTATGCTCAATCCACCTCCCAGTAGGGTCTTTTGATTGACTTCAGGTGGGGTTAGATTGGACCCTTAATTAAGGACAAGATGAATCATAGCTGTAGACAAGGTTTATATATAAAACCAGGCATATTCCACAACTGTTTCAGATCATATCCTCATTTTTAGATGTTAAAAGATCTTTTCATCATAGGTAAGCAGCAGATGGGTTCAGCTGGTTTACTACACCAGACTTCACAGAATCTTATTTTGTGCTGCATTGTAAGTGTGCTAGGTGAAAAATATTTCCAGTGTACGATCACGTTAGCCTATCGATGGATTTTGGAATAAGCTCACTTGGCTACTTTTATTACCCTTGAATTGGATGCTTTAAGGTGTTTGGTATTTGGGGACTTCAATATCAAGATCTACTCACTCTCTTTTTTTAGGCTGATGGATTTCTATAACCTGCTAAGGCATATTGTGTCTCAATACCATAAGAGGAGTGACATATTGGGTGTGACTGTTGAAGACATTATGAGGTCTCTAGGTTTTTGATTGAAGAATGATGTTATTATCTAGGTAAAGACTGGAATACCATGGAGTTTATCCCTTTTCGACATCAACCAGTAGTCCAAGTTCTTGTCTTAATGAACAGTAGCAACAGTGTGGTTTTAACTGCAGTTTAGATGAGTACATAAATAAATGTTTCTTTGATTTCCAGAGTATGCCTCAAAGGATGATCACAGAGACTTTGCTGGAGAATTGGAAGTTCTTTGTAAACTTGGACATCATCATAATATCATAAATCTTTTGGGAGCATGTGAACATCGGGGTAGGATATTTTGCTTACCTGGCTTTAAAAATTATACAATAAAATAAAATAAAATATAAAACTACATATTAGTCCAGGCCAGAAATTGTCCTTATATTAAAGTAATTATTGTACTCAAAAAAGGAAAGATGGCACCCTGTTCATAACATAAAAATATAAGCAGATTTTACATAAAATATTTAGATGCATAGTAAACAGAAAACACGACATAGCTAAACAGTGGTCTGTGGACCACCAGTGATCAGCAGTGCTCTTTTTGGTGGTTTGCAGAATTAATCTGTTTGAAAACCAAGCAATGGGGTAGTTGGACAGGAGGTTTGTTCATAAGCCAACGTTTACCTGGGAGGATCACTGAAGTGAATAGATCCACACCAGTTAATGATCTACTACAGTAGAACTTTAGAGTTACGAACACCAGAGTTATGAACTGACCAGTCGACCACAAACTTCATTTGGAATTGGAAGAAGCAAATAAGCAACAAGAAAAAAAAAAAAAAAAAAGCAAGTAGAGTCCTGTGTTAAATGTAAACTACTAAAAAAATAAAGGGAAAGTTTAAAAAAAAGATTTGACAAGGTAAAGAAACTATTTCTGTGCTTGGTTAATTTAAATGAAGATGGTTAAAAGCAGCATTTTTCTTCTGCACAGTAAAGTTTCAAAGTTCAGTTGTAAACTTTTGAAAGAACAATCATAAAGTTTTGTTCAGAGTTACAAACAACCTCCATTCCCGAGGTATTTGTTCTACTGTATTCCACATTGTGAACTGCTGGGCTGCAACCTTTCTGTTATGAAAAACTCTTTTTGAACTATAAAAGCACAAGAATCCTTCTGAAATGGCCATCATTGCCATCTTCTTCTGCACCTGAGAGATATAAGGTTTGTTTGTTTGTTTGCATCTTGTGTGGCATTATACTGTAGTAGTGGGACCCTATCAGGGGAAATGCATAATCACTGACACTGTCTCTTTGTTTAGCTTGTTATGTAATACTGCTCTCTCTGTTTTACATTAGGGTATCTTTACCTGGCTATTGAATATGCTCCCCATGGAAATTTACTCGATTTCCTGAGGAAGAGCAGAGTGCTGGAGACAGACCCAGCATTTGCTATTGCCAACAGCACTGCCTCCACTCTGTCCTCTCAGCAGCTTCTGCATTTTGCAGCAGATGTGGCCAGAGGGATGGACTACTTAAGCCAAAAACAGGTCAGCTCTGAGCTCCTTGCCTCCACAGCACTTTATTTTTTAGGGCTTGATCTAATTTTTGTCACCCCTATTCAGTATGTATGGGTAGTGCTATACCAGAATTGATATTTTATACATTTCTTCGGTGAGTTATTTGTTCCTCCAACTCGGATTTCTTTCTTCTAGAACGTGGATCTATCTATCTATCACTCACTCACTCACCTATTTATATGGCTCTTGTCACCATATTATCTGAGCACACATGCAACACTTAAAAATAAATCTGAATGAAACTCAAGATTATCACCAAAGAAGGCATTTTAGCTTAAGTACTTCTTGATAGAATTGGTTTATTTTCTTTTCTTCTGAGTGCCTTGTAGGTTTTATCATCTCATAGCTTAGAATATGAAAGAGTAATCTAATGGAAGGGCGACCTCACCACAATACATGTACTGTTTCACTGCTGCTTTGCCTACTTTCAAGTTGTTTCATGCATAGGGAATATCACCTTTTAAAATAGTGACATGCCAGTGGAACATGGCTGGTTAAAGCTACACAAAAGCAAGCAGCAGAGATCAGCAGTGAAATTGTTAATTTCCTTTGGTGATTAGACACTATGCTAATGAGCGCAGTATAAATACTAGAACGGGTCAACGTTTTTCATTCAAAATATTTTTTCAACAAAAATGCTCTTTTTCAAAACTTAAAACTTCTGCTAAAAGCGTTCAGATTTTTCAAAATTTCCACTTTTTTGTAGAAAGCAAAAAATGTTTCAAAAAAACTTCATTCTGCCCCCTTTTCCCTACTATTGCATGAATGATGAGTCAGGTAGGGGCTTTTGTCTCTTTAAAATTTTTCTTTTTTTTTCCTTTTTCCTTTTGCCACACTGTAACTTTTCCAAATTTGAGGAAGGTTTGAAAAGTTAAAGTCTGGCAAAAATTAAAATGATTTTTTTTTTAAAAAGTGAAAAAACCCTGGATATCAGAGGCTAGAAAGCAGGCAGAGAGAATCCAAAATTCAAATTTTTGAAAGTTCAAATTTTAACATTTCAAAACATTGAACTTTTAGGGGGAATGTATGACAAAAATTTTGAACAAATAAAAAAAATGGTTCAGTTTCAAACTCTCTGAAGTGGAAATAATTTCAAAAATTGTCATTAATTTGTTTTCCCATTTTTCCACGCCCTCTAATAAATACCTCGGTAGACAGTGACAGATAGATGCCACCCAAGTACAGTGTCAGTTCTAAGTGAGTGAGAAGACCACCTTATAAACTTGCTCTCTCTCCTAAAAAAGTGTGTGACTTTCTTGTTACTTTAAATTGTGGCCCTTGAAATTGACAGAAAATTACTAGCGCAAGTTAAAACAAGGGCTGAATGTTGGTGTCATCCTTAAATCTGTCCAGAGGGGGAGCAGTGGGGTGGAAATTCCCTGGCTTGCTTCTGTCTCCCCTTGCAACTCCTGGACATGCCATTCTCCAGACCCCTCTAGCCATGGCTAGCGTGACAGAGGGGTATTCCAGAGGAGGATGGGGAGAGGATTAGGTGGCATACCAGCCCAGGCACATTACTGGCAAAAGTACACTGGCACTAGGTGGCAGGGATGTGACTATGTATAGGGATGTGTGCAGTCCAGTGCTTAATTTGTGCTAGGGCTTGCCAGGGCTGAGCCCTCGCACTTCTGGGCTTGGCACTTCATAGCCCTGGCACCTCTGGGCTTGTTGAATGTAAAAAATTGCTTGAGCCCTGGCACTTCTTTCATTTCATAAGGGGGAGGGATAGCTCAGTGGGTTGAGCATTGGCCTGTTAAACCCAGGCTTGTGAGTTCAATCCTTGAGGGGGGCCACTTAGGGAGCTGGGGCAAAAATCAGTACTTGGTCCTGCTAGTGAAGGCAGGGGGCTGGACTTGATGACCTTTCAAGGTCCCTTCCAGGTCTAGGAGATAGGATATCTTGATTACAAATTAAGTACTGAAGCAGTTAGCCTTTGACCTCCATGTTAAGGCTGCTCTTACAGCCTTTCCTGGAGGCCAGATTTGTTGGGTTTATGTGGCTTCATGAGATATTTTGACATGGATGGTAATTTATGGGGGTTTAGGCATTTGCAGTTAATACTCTCGCTGTTTTCTTCCTTTTCCTTTTTCTCTGTTATATCAGAAGCTTTAATCACTATTTTCAATAAACTGTCAATTTATTGTTTCCTTTGCCATGCTTTCTGCATTTGGCAGTTTTAAATGTAGCACACAGTATAATGCAAAACCCAAGGGTCATGGGTGTAGTAGGAAGAGAGCCTGAGACATAAGCCCTTGTATCAGAGGCCTGGTATAAGGCAGGACCTGCTCACAGAATCTGCCAAGAACAGGGCTGATAGTGAAGAAATACACTATTCCTAAGAAGTGCTAAGCACAGAATACTCACGCAAACACGTCCCGATATCAAGTGGTACCAGAACACCCCGATATCAAGATTGGTACAAAAACATTCCCCAAGGGTAACAGGAACACACTGACCCCTCCTAAAAGATAAGGCCAGGATGACAGTACATAATAGAGATGTTTTGATTGATCCAACATGAACAAGGTGATAACTAGCCACGTCAGGGGGCAGTGATTAACTATGTCAAAGGGGCAGTACTAACTTGTTTGTATGAGGGTATAAAGATGTATCTCAGAGGGAGTATCTTTGTCCAGCCGAGGAGGGAATGGAAAGTCCTGCCATTCACTGAGCTGCATCCATTGTCACAGGCATACATGTCTTAGTATTCTTGTAGAGTCTACCAGGTGCTATTACCGTGCTTTGTTGACAATAAACCTGGCCTGGCACCTTCATACCTTAACAGATCTTGTGGTCATTGGGCGGTTCGCTCGAGGTCTGCTATGCCAGCTGTCTGTGCAGAGCTGGGGCAGCACACAGGGAGAACACACACACACACAGCTGAACATCTAACCACACTGGGTTACCTGAGAATTTCTGTTTTCTTTATTGTAGTTTATTCATCGCGATTTGGCAGCAAGAAACATCTTGGTTGGCGAAAACTATGTTGCAAAAATAGCAGATTTTGGATTGTCTAGAGGTCAAGAAGTTTATGTTAAAAAGACCATGGTAAGGATTGAAACAAACGTGTTCAGCATGATCATTCTTTGAGACAATCACACTTCATCAAGGGTTATCACTATGTCTTTTAGAGATGGGGCCAAGAGACAAAGTTTGGTTTTTAACCTTCCTAAAGTCCAAGGAGCCAGTTGCAAAAATCACATGCGAAGTTCAGGGATATTTGGATGTAGCCTTTTGGCTGAGGCCCATCACTAGCCTTTTAAAAAAAAAAAACCTTTCGACTATAATCTGTATTCAGATGGCTTAATTCTATTGACGTAGATGGAGCTATGTCAGCTTACGTCAGCTAAGGATCCCATTGTGCAAAACAGATGTGTTAAAGCAATGGCAATAATGTTCTATACAGATATTTGGATCAGAGTAAATGGTACGTATGACATTACTACTAAGTAAGATTTCAGTGGTTTTAATAATAGCATGTCACACATAGGACAAATACAACAATTAGTCTTATTGTCACAATTAAGAGTACTAAAAATTTAAATTAAAAAAAAGAAGAAAAAAAACAAAATAATTATTCACAGGCAGCTTTGTCTCACAACTGAAATAGTGAACTACTTAAAAAGGGTGTCACAATCACTGTCCAGATGTGCAGAAAGCGTTCTGGGATATAACATTGTCATGCAAGGGATGGGAATAACTCTAGCTAGAATTGTCTGATTATTTTTAATGAAAGGCAGACTTATTTAGAAGCAAATCGTTTGCACAAACTGAAACTTTGTACTCCAACCCTGGCCTTTGTATTTATTTCATGAATGTAATGAGGAAAATGAAATAGCAATGTAAAGGCACGTAACTGATTCTTATTTTCCACTTTGATATTTACAAAGTTCATATATGAAAGTGAATCCCTCCATGATCTGCACTGGTGTAAAGCCAGTGACCTAAGATTAGGATCAGGGCCTGAGAAAGTAGTGATACTGAATGTTGATGAATCATCGGCTCAAAACATCTTGCCAGTTCCCCTAGAGGCTCCATTGAAAAGTGGGTGGAGTGGGTGGGAGTGATGAGATGGAATCCTATGAGCAAGGATCCTCAGGGAGGAAGACCAGTTCTCAGGCACTAAACCCTTGGAATCACTTAAAGAGGAAGAAGTGAACTGTCTAATGCGTCTCTTCATCCAATTCCACATGATTCTGCAGCTGAGTCAATAACACCTTGTGGTCAATGGGAAAGGAATGGTGCACAGGATGTGAGCTATCATGCTGCATCATACAAGCAGAATTGTTTCCATTTCATACTGGAACCACACTCATTTGGAAAGAACTTCTCTTTGCTTTATTGGGAGCTGTACATCTGGGACCTGATTGTACAACCAGTGCTCAAGTTGGGGAGCATGTACATCAGTAGGCCTATTGACTTGAAGGGGCTACCTGTGTAAGTGCTCACTAATGTAAGTAATGGTTGTTTGTGGTGCAGGTTTCAATAAGATTGTTTTGAAACAGCTATGAACATTACCATTCATGTAATAGCCTGTAATGCAATTCTAATGGCATCACTTCCAGGGAAGGCTTCCAGTGCGATGGATGGCAATTGAATCTCTCAATTACAGTGTGTACACCACAAACAGCGACGTGTAAGTACAGTTCTTTAACGTGTTTCTAATAAGACTTTCTTTAATAACATCAAAGCTTCATAGGGAAATGTTTTTTTGCCAGCGTTTTTAATCGTGCAGCGATTAATTCATGGCACTCAGAAAACACAGGTCTATGTGTCACCTTGTGGGCAGACAGCTTGAGCAGACTACAAGGAATAGTCTGAAAAAACTGAACCAAGCTAAATTTGGGTCTGAGTCCAGATCTGAGTTTCTACAAAGTACATGTGATGTTTGGACATGGGGTTAGTTCAGGGGCATCTCTAGTTTGAAACTCAAACTCAAATGCACCTTTGGAAGGCCCATACGAACACCAGTTCCTGCCAGCAAAGTGCAGCAAGTATCCAGGAAAACAGCAAAAGTTCAGATCTGTGATAGCAGTACTTGCCAGGAAACCAGATAGAATTGGCCAAGCTCTACGGGCTTGATCTTGCAAAGCACTTAAGCATGTGCATAACTGTAAGTACTTGAGCTGTCTCATTAAAGCCTGGGGGGCTTAAGTGCCTTGCTGAAATTTTCTGTATAGACTATAGTGTTGTTCATTTCTATGCAACGTCTGTGACATTTGGTATTTTCTATGGAACTTAGTCTCTGTAAATCTTTAAGTGAAGAGACAAAAAGAAGGTACAGCATAATTCTCCTTTGCATGACAGTCTCTTCTGGAATCACATAAATAAACTAGCAGAATATAATCGTAGTTAAAAAAGAAACCTCATAAGGAGGTTTGGCAGAAGCTGGGAATGGGTGACAAAGGATGGATCATTTGATGAGTACCTGTTCTGGTCATTCCTTCTGAAGCTCCTGGCATTGGCCACTGTTGGAAGACAGGACTCGGGACTAGATGGACCTTTGGTCTGACCCAGTATGGCTGTTCTTATGTTCTTGATGACCCCTTTAAGAGCCAATTTCTGCCCACTTGACTAGTGCTATTGAAGTCAGTGGGCTAAATTCTGCCCTGGGGCATACTGCTGTAAACCGGGAATACTTCCTCAAAGTCAGTAGAATTACTCTGGATTTATGCCACTTAACAGAGCAGAATTTGGTCCCACGGGCCTACTTGCATGAACACAATAAGCAAGATTTGCCAAGAACTTTCACAGGAAAGAAAAAATTTCCTTCTCCCTTGGAATGAGGAAATTTCTGCTTGTGTCCTGGGCAAACAGAGCATCTTTGAGAGAAAGGACCACACACAAAACAATTTAGAATTAGAATGGAGTGAAGGTGGAGGGCGATGGGGGAAAGGAGTGATCCCCTGGGACATGCAAGTGGAGCTAGGTTCTTTGGGTATGAATTCCACCAGTGTAAATCCAGCATAATTTCATTAACTTCAGTGACGGTGTTCTGGGGTTACACTGGTGAAACTGAGAAGAGTTTTTGGCACTTTGTGTAATAAATGAGACAGAGACAGATCCTCAGCTGGCGTAAATCAGTGTCGCTCCATCGAAGTCAATGGTACAATGCTCATTTACACCTGCTGAGGATCTGGCCTTATATGGTTTAAAGCCTGGATCCTTACTACCAAACAGAAAATTGATCAGAAATAGTGAATTGAAACTTACGTTCTCTGTAGATTAGCAAATTATCTTGTTCAATAACACACCTGCTCACTTTTAATCATTGTTCCTGTTAAGGTATGAGTGCTTTTTCTTTGTCCCTGTTGCAGGTGGTCATATGGTGTCCTATTATGGGAAATAGTTAGTTTAGGTAAGTATCCATTTTTATTGGTACACAAATAAACCAGTGTGGGATATTCTAGTACAGTACTCTACTGGGCATTCTGGGCTCTCAGCCCTGCACTCAGCCCACTAAGCCATTCCTCGCTTTCAAACATCGTCTGCTGTTTTCTTTTGATTTATTAACTACATCTTGCATTGGTAACAATACCCTTAAAAAAAATGGTCACAATTCCAACTCAGTCCAGGTTAAGTACCACATTACCTGAGAAAGGTAGAGAGAGCCTCTTTTCATTATCCCATGACAAAGCATTTACAGCAGGTATTTACTTTTTAAATACTGAATATTCCAAGGGCTAGATTCATAAAAGGACCAAGGCACTTAACTGACAGTTTAGGCACTGACATCCCAGGCCACACTGGGATTCACAAAACCGCTGCTCAGGAACCCTGTAGGCACCTATGTTTCTGCCTCTGAGCATGCTTACTGCAGCCACGCTAGGGGGTTGGATGCCTAAGCCCCAGAGCCATACACAAACGAAGAGAAGATAGGCGTTCTTTCATCTAAGTCACCTTGGGGCCCAATCTGGTACGCGTGCTCAGAGCATGCCTACTGGATTGGGTCCCTAGAAGTGAGTTTATGCAAAACAGCTGGCGGAGGAGAAGCCTACACCCCCTCAGCTTAGCAGCTCCCATCGGCTATCTTAGGCAAGGATCCACCTAGCATGCTGGCTTTTTGTGAATCCCATTCTGAGGTGCTGATTTCTCCGCATTCATTGTATAGGGAGCCTAGGCGCCAAACTCAGGGTTTGTGAATCACAGTGATTTTCTAGGCCTCGCTAGTCAATGTCACCAGGCCTAAGTTTCTTTGTGTACCTAGCCCTAAGATTACTCTCCAGCTGTAACTTCGCGTCTGATCCTGCAAACACTTACTACCACTGGTCTCATGGGGTCTAAGTCTGCTCTTACACTGCCTTCAGTAGTGTTATTCCTGCTTTACATTGCTGTATGTAAGTGAGATCATAATCAGGCCACTGACTGTAAGAATTTTGGGATGACACATTAGCAATGGAACTATGCCAGTTTACACCAGCTGAGGCTCTGGCCCGTTTGCCTTTTACTTTATAAAAAAACTGTGCATGGGTTTAGCAGAGCATAAATAATGAATAAAATTATTAATATTAAAATCCAGTTACTCAGTACAAGCGTCCTTCATCTTTACCTGCCTTCATCAAATACTTTGTTGCTGAGCCATCTTGTAGCTCTTGTGCTGAGCTCGGTTAGCCTTACTTGTGATCGCACCAGAAAAATTTGCTTAAGCCAATGTCAAACTCTTGTGTTTTAGGTGGGACACCATACTGTGGAATGACATGTGCAGAACTCTATGAGAAATTGCCACAAGGGTACAGACTGGAAAAGCCTCTCAATTGTGATGATGAGGTGTAAGCAAACAAGTGCATTAATTATTATTTTATTTTCATTGTTTACTGCGAAACTAGCAGTTTTCAGGGACGCCATGATTCAGCAAATGTGTGATTTTTTTGCTATTCAATAATATAGCTGTATGAAGCCTGAATGCACTGTTAGTTGCAGAATGGCACGTCACCTCCAAAGGTGCTATACTTTGTACAGGCTGGGTGGCTGTCCTTTTGAAAACCACCACAACTTTCTACACAAAAAAATCATCTTCAAGGAGGCCAATCATGGGAAATTTAAGCCCAAATATGGATGTTGGAAGGGGAAGACAAAGCATGGTTGAATTACAATTGGTTTGCTACCTTAACAGACCTGGGCAATACCAGTATAATTACCACTACGCTGGTGGAAGCCATGGAAGAGATCATAAACGTGGATATGTGCCACTCAGTAAAGCCAAGTCCTATGAGGGAGTCTGGGAATGCCAAATGAGCGTCTCAGGTGGTGAAGCACTGCTATAACAGCTCCTGTGGGTCCCGCTTCCCCACCTCTGGTACAGTGGATGTGGTCTGGGAGGACTGGAGCGGGGGAAGGGAGTGTGGCCATTCAATTCTCAGCATGGCTGTCAGGGCTGATTGGTGCATCTCTTAGAGGGCTGTCTGAAAAATTTCAGCCTTAAACTGGGGCTGCGTGTCATGGTTTTAAGATGGACTCTGCACGCCTTGTGTTCAGTGACATGCATCCAAGTCATCATGGGTTGTGTCTTATTTTTAAAGGTATGACCTGATGAGACAGTGTTGGCGGGAGAAACCGTATGAAAGGCCATCATTTGCTCAGATCCTGGTGTCACTGAATAGGATGTTAGAGGAACGAAAGGTAAGGCTGAATAGCTATGCTAGCTTGAAGTCCAAAGGCTAAATCTTTCCATGGCATATGTGTATGAAGTTCATGAGACACAATTAGTGAGGTCTATAGCCCGCTCAATAATTAGAGCACAGCTTGGTGCATGTGAGGAAAAAAATGCATCACCTACGTCAACCTCTCTTATTTTTTCAGACATATGTGAATACCACGCTGTATGAGAAGTTTACCTACGCAGGCATCGACTGCTCTGCTGAAGAAGCTGCTTAAGACAGAAAAAATCTTCGTCTATTGAGTAACCATGAAACAAACCAAAAACTCAGTCTTCTGGGGCACAGAATGGGATGTGCTGTGTAGAACTGTGTATAGCTTTTTGTATAATATTGTTGAACTACAGATAGCATTGTGCATGTCTTACAGTAAACTCTGCCTCCATAGACTGTAGGAGTGTATATACTGTTTTGAGTAGGAATGGGCTAATGGCATAAATTCTGAGATACATTTCACACACAATAGAATCTTTTTTCGGGAAATGCGGTGATACTTACTTTAAGTAGCCCATGCAGAAACACTTATTGAAATGCATTGTGCATTGCTACCCTAGGTATTTTACAAGAGTTAATGATAACATAGAATATCTCATTAGCTAAATTTTATGGTGATTCTAACACAACATGTTTTTGTGTACGTGCCAAAACAGTGCCATGTCTCCAGAGAACAGACAATGCTGTAGCAGTACCAGACAACACCGCTTTAGGAAATCAGCAGTAAAAGTGACCCCTGAAAATAATTTGTTTCTAGAGCTTTTGAACTAGCTGACATCTATGTGATACAAGCAACTGCTGTTTAATAGCCAATTTCTTGTATTAAATATCAATGTTTAACTTGATAATATAAATATTGGAGAGCAGTGTTATTTTAGAAAGTCACATGGTGTTTATCACGAAGAATGGGCATTCATAAATGTATTACATATTGTAAAACACATTTCTAAAAAGTCAGTTTGGCTACAAGTGCAGCTTTTTCATTTTGTATTTGAGTCTAATAATGCACTGACTAGATCATTAGTTAATTATAAACAGGCACGGTTCACTTACTTGCTTGTGACCACCCTATTCCTTGTGTGCCTGCATGTAGTTTACTGTGTGGCCTTTAACAAATAATGTACTAAAAGCCTTTGAAATATTTTCCTTCAGTGGCATTATTAAAAGGTTCTCAACTCCTCAACACATCATTCAGCTAATGTACATGCTGTTCAAGAGGGCAGGAATATTTTTACATTTCAGTATAATGGCCTTCCCATTAGTGTGTCTGACAACTGAATCCGGACGCTTGCAGTCAGATGAAGACTTTTAATTTGCTCTCAGCCCCGGGGTGGCAGGCATAATAGGACACCTGGGCCGTGGTGGCCCTCCCTGCTGCTGCTGCCTGGTGAATCTTCCTCCACTTCACCCCCACCCCCACCCCCACTTCCCCACCTCTCACCGTGTCCTCTCTTCACCATCCTTCCCCCACAGAGGCAGGACAGTGAAGAGGGACAGGGTGAGCCATACTGAGGCTAATCCTTTAGTAGCTAAAAATCTAAAGGTTTATTTATAAAGAAAGAAAGGTGAGCATTAAAATTGGTTAAAGGCCTCAACTATATACAGTAATTGCAAAGTTCTTGGTTCAGGATTGTAGCAGTTTGGAATAAACTGCTGGCTTAAGTCAAGATTCTGGAATATAGCCACAGCTTGGATGGGCCATTCAGTTCTTTGTTCAGAGCTTCAGTTTGTAGCAAAGTTCCTCCAGAAGAAGCAGGATTGACGACAAAATGGAGATGTTTCCGGGGCCTTTTATAGCTTTTGCCATTTGGAGGGAATCCCATTGGTCTTACTGTGGAAAATTACAGCAACAAGATGGAGTTTGGAGTCACATGTCCATGCATTTTGCCTAGTCACAGCAGGAAATGCCATTAAGTGTAGATGGGCATCTCCCATGGTCCATTGTCAGTTAAATGTGCTTTTGTTGGATCACTAAATTTCAATAGTCCCTCCAAGATGTGCTGGCTAATTACTTTGTGGGCCTTACCCAAGGAGCAAACATTTGAAATCCAGATATAGAGCCAATACTTATAACTTCAGATACAAAAATGATACATGCATACAGATAGCATAATCATAACCAGCAAATCAGACACCTCACTTGACAACCTTTGTACAAGATTCACTGCAAATATATAACAGTGGTTGCAACAATGAGCTATCTGGTCCTATTTTAATCAGACAATGTCACAAGAGAGCCAAAAAATTATCAGGTTTCAGAGTAGCAGCCGTGTTAGTCTGTATCCGCAAAAAGAACAGGAGTACTTGTGGCACACTAGAGACTAACAAATTTAAATTTGTTAGTCTCTAAGGTGCCACAAGTACTCCTGTTCTTTTTTAAAAAATTATCAGGCCATTTTACAGATAGAAGGGGAAAGGCCATAGAGCAAGATCTGAAAATTGAATCTACGGCTCGCTCCTGGGTCCCATGTTAGCGCTTTAACTACATGAGCATCTCTCTGTGACCCTAATCTAATTAGCTATTTCTTTGCAGTCCCATTGCCATGGTCTCTGTATACCGATTCCTCTTGGTTCATTGGACTTTTCTGGTAGTGCATAGAGAAGCCAAGCTTTAAAGGGAAAAACTACTGGGAGGAATGGCATGGCGGCGGGAGGGGCTGTAAAGGCTTTTTCATTTACTACAGGAAAACAAAGTTCTACCACTTGTAAAGAAAATAGATCTGAAACACATCTCTGTGCCTGTATATATGTGCGTGAGACGGCAAAAATGAGATTGGCCACAGTTTGCCTAAAGTGCAGATCAGTTTATATAATGTCACAGCTGTAATATTTTTAAAAATAATTACTGAAGAATGTTCAAGCTGTTCAGACAAATTATAACAGACCAATACCCCTACCTCAGGGTCACACTCTGCACACCAGTTGGCTTGTTAAGGCACCTATGTGTGACGCTATTTACATCGTACATTTTGGGGGCACAAATTTGCAATTGGTCGGGAGGGAGGAGGGGCATCCATTTACTTTTTCAAAATGCCTTGTAAATGCAAAACCTAGACAGATTCTCGTATTCCCAGATATATCAAGGACAACTATATGAAACCTGGTGGGGGGAAGAGACTTTAAAGTGACATGATCGAGGAACCACATGTCCCCTTTCCTCCCCGCACCCCAAAAAACAAACAACCCCCTAAACATTTATATCAGTGTATGAAAGTACCTGGTCAAGCCATAATCATGCAAGTTAACACTTTATTGTAAAATATGATTAGTTTAATCAAAATGTTAAGACCTCCCTCACCCCGCCCCTCCCCGAGTTCTGTAAAGGACTCAAGTGAGTGTACCCCCCACAAGACCCTATAGAGGTACTTTATTCCAGACTGGGGACGCTCAGGGGGCCTGCATTTGTAGCTACCCCATTAGATGGTATGATGGCTACATCAGTCCACAGGCTGCCTGTTAAAACAGTCTTTATGTAGCTATATGTAAACATACAGCCATAGCTCTGTACATACACCATCATGTTTTATAAGTTAATCACATGTCCAAGACAAATTTCAGAGCTATGTGTATATTAACTTATATAATGATTGTTTTTTAACCATGTTTGCATTCAGCCTTCTTCCTGGGGCGGAGAAGTTTGGATTAAACATTTTGTGTCCTTGGCCGGCTCAACCAACCACCAATTAAAAAAAACCCAAAACAAACGTCCCCCTTTCACTGCAGTCTCCCTCTCCGCAAACAATAACACACCCCTGAGCAGAGTTTTTAGATACAGCCCTATTTTAGGTCATTTTTAGAGAAAGTTTTGTACTACTTTGCTGTGATAGAAAGATTTTTGGCACCTGTGTCTTTGCTATTTGTGAGTTCTGCAAACAAAAGGTTGATTAGTGCTAGCTGTGGCCTTTTCAGAGGTAACTAGTTCCTTTTGGATGGGGCAAGCACCCATTCCAAGTCATGGAAAGTTGATATTTGAAAGAAAAAAAAAAACAACCACCTCCATCTTGGTAGTAGTATAGGTCTCCTAATTTAGAACGTCAAGCTTAACTTCTAATACAATCTATGTGACAAAATGACGCAGCCCTGAAAGGGGAATAATGAAATTGGGCTCTTCTACAGGCAACCTCCCATGTTTTCATTAGATAAGTGTACTTTGTGCAAAGCACCCTTTGTCAGGGTGTACGGTTGCATAGCATTCCACCACATGGTTATTTCTAGCAGGTGCTTAACCTGGTACTGATTTGGAATAAAGTTGTTTACTCCACCTTCCCTGCACCAGCACCTCCAGGTTTGGTGTCATTTTTTCCTGTACATTATTTCATTAACAAGGGAGTACATAAGTAAAATTGCACTCTACATGACACAGGTATCCAGGTTGAGCTAGAATATTGGAAGGATTTCAATGCACTCTAGCTGCTCTCTTCCACGAGAGAAATCACATCACATAGATTGCACAAGTTTCATATTTTGTGCATTACCACTTCCAAAATCTTTAGCTAGTGCTACAGCATAAATTATGGATCAGATTACAGAAGCACATATAGGTCTATGAAGAAAAACATTGTAGCTTTGTAAGAAATAAGTGGCCAACATTTCCTTTGCAGTAAACAGTAACACCTTTAATTTGGATTTTTTTCTTTAGGTTGATGATTGTAACCGACAGCTTATTGCTTTTTAACTATTCTTCATTTAAATAAAATAAAAAAAATGACCCAACCAAAACACCTTTACAAAGTAAGTTTAACAAAAACAGGTCAAAATAAAAGATATAAATCATTAGGGTCTCTGTAAACAAGAGTACAGAGAACAGCTAGCCTAACTTCTACTTTCTGGTTTAGCTGTATTTTACTTTGTAACATATACATTACTTGGGGAAAACTGACATAGGTGAGAAGATTGTAGTGTTTCTCCACTTTGTTTTTCTACACCACTCTTTGATGGGGGAGGGGGAGAGAAGAGGGACAGGGTGGAAGAGAAGTAGGAGAGAAATTGACTTTCCAGGTGTGATTTGCAGACAGCAGCAGTGGCACCTTAAAGGGGGTCAGGCAAATTAGTTCTTTGTTTTGTATTGTAAGATAATTTGGTACAAGTTTTAAAAGTAGAAAAACCAAGTTCTTGTTTCTTACTGTTTAGATCATCAGCAGTGCAAAGCTGTTAAGTAGTAGGTACAAAACCAACCCCTCCAACTAACCACATTTTTACACTGAACAAAAATTATACACTTAATAGCAAACATCCAACATTAAATAATTCTTGTACAAAAATCCTTACAGACTGTTTACATTGAATATTCAGTGGAGTGTACTTAGTTACAGGGGGGTTGATGCACTTTTACACTGGCACTATTAGTAATGTTTTTGTGGAACACACACTAAAAGTGATTAATGTTGAAATATTAAAGAAACGGAAGTCGCTTCATGTTGAGTATGCTGTTCTTGAAGAAAATCACCATTTTCTGCCCTTAGTATCCTCCTTTACTTTCCAAAGCATCAGTTCCATACAAGCAGCAGCATCTTCACTAGAATCATGGCCACCAACTAGGAAGGAACAAAATAGATTCATATTTAAAAAGTAGTAAACATTTTCCCATTAGATAGTGTCCATCACAAAAAGATACAAAAGAGGAAAAGAACATAGCTTTCAGAAAAGTCAATTATTCTAGAACTGACTGATGCAAAGAGCCCGGCTTCACTACTGGCTAGTGAACTATAGGATGGAAAACCAGCAACATACCAAACAATATTTACATGAACCTAGGACATCTATGAGCGTACTGCGTATACAGGTATTGCATTTAAAACTAATTTAGTGACATGAGAAAATAGAGGATGGATGAGACGCAGTGGAAGGAAGAGAAACAGAAGAAGAAAAGAAAAAAATCCCACAAAAAAGGTGGTGTTGCAGAATAACATAACTGGCGTACAGCAGTAAAATTAATTCAGGAATGGGAAGCTGGAGGGACAATAACGGAGGGTGAGCAGATTAGTCGCATGATCTATGTCAGACACTTATTTGCCCATCATTTGTGAGATAAAGTAAAGAAACAAGAAAATATCATTGAAAGATCAATTGTCTTAAGTATGCAGCCTTGAAAAAAATTGCAAGGTAAGTTTGCTTGTTACTAACTATGTAACACTTTTCCATATGCAGTTTGTTATGGCTCCAGTGTTGTTCACACA